AATCCAGCTAAAACATTTATGAAGGAAAAATAAATGTTCGCGTTCAAATAAAAGCTTTCTTAAATCAACATACAGCTTCTATTGGCTACAAGTAGTGATACTGTTCTCCAAGAGTTGAACTTGGCAGCTTTGTCCTGCCAAATTAAGTCTGTTTTTAATCTATTGAGACGTTTTTGTATAAGCTGGTAAGTGCTACCGTTTCGTGTTACGTATCACTACACATGCTGATATAAATATATCTTAAGATACATACATGGCAAAATTTGTGGATATTCTACTTAAGTGTGGTACATACATCAGGACCAACACTATAAAAATAGTAAAATGATGCCAATAAATTGTCAATATATATTGAAAATATAATCAATCATTTTGTTTTTAAAAATCCAAATCAGATCATTGGTCATTCCTAATTTTTTAAGATAGGGACTTTAAAAACATATTTATCTACCTTGTCAAGTATTCATAGACATGGTGAAAACAAAATACCCTAATGCATCCAAACTTGTCTCTCTCTAAGAGGTATTGCAATATTTTTTACATAACAGAAAAGGCACGCTTGCGGTGTCCAACCCTTTCATTCAACTTGAGTTAAAAGTTGTCATTAAAACAGGTAACAGCCAACTTTCAGATCAGTTGCAGTTCATCCTGGAGGGCATTATCCATTCGAGCCCACTTTTTTAACTCTGCATATACTATATACGTAAGAAGTTAGACATCCCACATGATCCCCAAACTCCTGCTTGTCTTCATTGATCCAACATGGTGGCCATTACAGTGAAAGTGATAAACAATAGAATGAATCCTAATCAATACATCAGTAATATCAGAGAATAATTAACGTATCAATACAACTGTTTGGTGTTTAAGTGGTCATATATTATAAGTCTCAATAAAGAATTAGGTATTTTTTTGTTAGATTCAAGAACAAAGATGCACAGTGGGCTATCTGCACTGTGTCATTTCAAATAAGATTGCGCACAATTCAGACAAAGCTTGTACATTATGATAAAAGTTAGTTATATTAACAATCTAGCCTGAAACAATATTATTAATAAATATCAATTTACACACAGTCACCTTGTACGTTTGTAGATTTAGAAGTCGTGCTTCCAAAATACCACAGAGCCCAAAATTTATTAATGAGATATAAAAATCATCCTTTTTTTTTGCTAACTTTCTTAGAATCAAGACAGAAATTGACCAGTAAACAAATTTCACATTTTTTTCTCGCTGCATCATTAGAAATTTTTCAGTGTTCTTCCAATATCTAAATAGTGCTTAATTTAATCGCTATCAGTACTTGGACAAATGCATTTATAAATAATAATGACATTTTCTTTTGAGGACACGTATAGATTTCTTATAATAACGACAGATAGTCGAATTTATAAAAAGGTGCTACAATTTATGCAGAGCTTTCCCTAAGGATTTTTTCAACTGATAATTTTTAATTCCATCATTTTTTAATATATGAGGCTTTATTGCACCTCAATATATAGGCCTAGTAGCAAATTATTAAAAAAATGAGAAATATACTAGTAGATACATTTATTTATCAACGCAGGAATGGGATTTTATAATCTTAAATATGTTTTTTTTATATATATTTATCCACTTGAGCTTACTTATGTAGGTGAATTTTCAACTGCACAAATGTTTTTACAGGTGCACAATTTGTGATCAATTGCACACTAGGAAAACCCCTGAATTCATGTATTTTTTGTGTGCGTTATTTGGTAGCCACATCAGAAGAGTTAAGAACTGCCCAAATCTTTATTTATTTCATTTTTCTAAATGAGGAACAGCCAAACGGTGAGGTGATGTTTAGGCTCAATATCTTCTAGCAAGACACTGACACACGTATTTTTTTTTAAGTTCGTTTGTTTTTTTATTTTAGCGAAACTGAACTACCAGAGATATAGATTTGTATTTCTCTCTATTCCTTAACCACCTACCATATCGTGGTTATGTGCAACCAAATAATACAGATAATGATAAGGCAAAAGAAGGAGTTGATTAAAGGATGGTATTTTAATGTCACTTTGTACTTAGAGCAACATCTAGTCATCATGACAAGTGAGAGGAACTTTGTTGACCAAGCAGCTACCACAGGAAATAAGACAATATGATATATTCGACGTTTTTGGGCGCGGCACAGCGGCTCATAGAATAGCTTTGAAGTATTTTTTCAAGTACAAACTTTTAGCTTGTTATCTCTTGACCGATTTGAGATCTAATTACAATTTTGGACTCGGGAGATCAAACCATTTTGATTGGTGCATTTCACCACGCCCAAGGTCTCACAGATTAACTTACTCTAATTCTGCCTAAAAATAATTTAATTTGAGGGTAGGCTGATAGAGATCCTGAAGAGTAATAAAATCGAATCGAGTATACACGCGTTCTACGCTTAGTATTGCTGGCGCACAAAAATATAGCTAATAAAAAAGTTAAAATAGGTCTCATAGATTAATTGACTTTAATCCTGCCTAAAAGAATTTCAATTACCGCAGCTATTGAGAATTCCCTCTTGTTCCAAGTGAAGTAACACTTTATAAAAGTGACAGATGAAGGTACTAGAAGGGTAAGATCATAAATAATTTGAATATATCTTTTTTATAACGTTTAGGTGGTTTATTTACTGTGAATTTGAACGCCGTCATTATGTATAGCCAAACTGCACTAATGATATGGCTCATTCGTAATACAATATTAAAAGACAATATAAACAACCGTAAAATACAATATTTCTATCTATCTCGGAGTATTTTGCACACGTCAGTGGTTTGTTAAAATAGTTTAATCTTTGATTGTTCACATGTTAGTATGTAAGCCACTGTCGAAAAAAAGGGGAAATTATTCATATAAAAGTTTCTTTGTTTCGGATATTCGCGCAAAGCTACACAAGGGCTATATGCGCTAATTGCCCCTAGATGAAAGCCAGCTAGTCAAAAACACCCATCACTCTAATCAACTAGCGGCGCCATTCTCAGAAAGCGGCAACAAAGTGTTATGCATGTTGTTGTTTTCTTCTTCTACTTATTTTTTTTTCGGCAACGAGATGTGAACCATGGACTCTCGAATCAATATTTCGGAACGCTAACCACGCTCAGTCCAAAGCTGCATAATAGTTTATATATGCTATGACAATGCAGGGATCGAAACCCTGTATTTTGTCGTTATAAGCCTTCAACCGTACCGCTGAGCCATGGGTGAGTGCCGAATGGAAAATACACCTGACAGGGTGACAGACTGAATATATAGATGTCTGTGTGTTTAAATGTATATATGTGTGTATGGCTGAGTAGTAACGAATACACTTTGAATTCAACTTAAAATTATACCTTATTTATAGAATATTTATATACATATATAACAAATTATTTATATAAAATTTTGTATCTCTCTCTCTCTCTCTCTCTATATATATATATATATATAATCTATTTATATGCCACTACCTAATTTGTGGCTAGAAAATGTTTCTATCCGGAAATGCCATCGGAAATGTTAATAAAGCAGGAATGTGTGAACCAACGTAAGGCTGTACACGACACTGTTGCAAAAAGAAGTTAAAGAGGGGCCATAGAGCTTCAGTAAAAATTCATTACTTTGATCGCTTGAGTTTCCTATAATGTGTTATAGTTCTGTTTACGTAAATAGTATTTCTAGCTATTTATGAGCTCTCCTAAATGTAGTTATAATTAGCTGTAAGTACTTTTGAAACTTAAACTTCCTATTTCATGTAAATATGGGCTAATTAGTCAATTTCTATGTAGCTTAGCATTATAAACAGTAGGGTATTAGCCTTTAATTTACAATTTTCATTACAAGTAGCCGATAATACTTTCTAGCGCAATAAATAGGTTTTACGTCACAAACACAGTTGGAACAACAAGTCATCATTACAGGTGAACTCCAAACTGTTATAATATTCAGTTCACAGTTAATATTCGTTTCTTTCTTTAGTTGAAATATACAGTTATTTTCAAAAAGAAAATTCGAAGTATCCTTTCTTGAAGCATATCACAGCGCCCCCTGATTTTACTAGAATGTGTTTTTTATCACAGTAGCAGCAGAGCGATGATTTCATAGGTAATCCATGCAATCCTGAAAATATTGACAGGTTGTCAGTCTTAATGAATACTAAACTTAGCCGCTTCTCTTTTTAATCATTGGACAAGGAGTTGTTGGCACTTATTTAGGGGTGGGGTGGGGTGCAAATCAATTCCATATATGTTGTTTTCATGAAGAGATAGAAGGGGTTCGCCGAAACTTGCATCTTTCCAATATGTTTTTGAGAGCTGCCACTACTGCGTAGATAAGAAAAAAAAATCATTGTTTTAGTTTCAACTCTTTCGAAGCTTTTAACTTTAATTATTTTGCTATAGATTTCTCTGAAACTGTATTGTTATTTTTTAATTTAATCAATAAGTGTGATCTGACTATTTGTTTGTTTGTAGTTAAGCACAAAGCTACACAATGAGCTAACTGTGCTCTGCCCCCCACAGGTATCAAAAACCTGTTTCTAGCGTGATAAGTCCGGGAGGCGAAAGTTACTAAGTTTAACATATCATCTAAAAAGCTAGTGGTGGTTACTTAAATGGCAGTTTCCTTATTTTCTTAAACTTCTGAAAAAAAAAAAAGAACAAAGATTTGGCCAAGTGCCGAAACGTTTATCTCCAAGTTTTTATACTTTCGCTCGGTTTAACGATTGGAGCGGCTTAATTAAAAACAATGCTTTTGTTATCGCTTTTTAATTTTTATGGCAAAATATATATTATTATATGTATTATTATTATAAGTCTATGAAATCCATAAACAATAAGTTTTTCTCTGTCACAACTGTTTTAGCAAGCAAATCGTTGTTGCATTTATCTCTAAATACATAGTATTCCGTAATATATATATATATTCTTATTTCTATCAAGCAAATAGAATGCCAACTTTTTATATTTTTGTCCTTTATTAAAATATGTTTTTTGTTGTTTTTTTAGGTGCACATAAAGTCAAGTTTTATTATGAATGGAGTGTGTGTCAGATGGAGAGGGTGGATCGATGTGGAAAGACTTGATGGAGTAGGATGTTTAGAATACGACGAGGAACGAGCTCAGGTAAGATACACTAAAAGAAGCGACAGTTTTAAATCGGAACGTTGAATGGCTTTTGTATATTTTAAATGTATACATTAAGTTCATAATAACTGGAAATTTCAGTGATAGTAGATAAAAGCCGCCTTTGTTGAATATATAATCTTGCTTTTACTGTAAAAGTGCTGTCGGATGAAAAAAGATCGGTTCTTCTTTATTTGCCGTTGAGTGGTAATAAGGGGCTCAGCCGCGTCACTCGGGGCACCGCCGCGCACCGCGTAGATGATGATATACAGCTCTTAGTTTTGTGTGTCTTCTTGTTTTCATCTGATTGTTTTTCTTTCTGTGGTGTTGCAGGTGGAAGATGCTGTGCTCAGAGAACAAATTGACAGATACAATCAACGACTACGAGACTTTGAAGAGAAACAGAGAGCTTATCGTGCTCAGCAAGAGCGTCACGCGGAGGCGGAGGTTGAGGTGAGTGAAGACGGTCGGTCGACGCTTCATTTTATTTCTAAGTAGAATGATGCACCCACCAAAATCTCTGGACCAGCGACCAGCTGGCATCCTTCTGTAGGCCTAGGATTCCCTGTGGATTGGTACCCGTGCCTGTTTTACTCTGGCACTGACCTTAATAAGCTTCATTTGTGCGAGACTCGCTTCGAGTTGGATGCACCTGAACTTTTTTCTCTATATCCTCTTCATTTCGAGACTTTTTACTATTTTAAAATGTCCGGCGCCTGATTGTGAGGCATGATTGAATTCATTGTGAACAAGCAGATGTGAGTGGGTCCCTGCCTGTTCAGCTGCACGTCAGCTAGAAGCTGTCCCCTCGCCTAGTACCGTCACAAAGAGCGATGCGAGGCGGCGGCACTAGGGCCAACATCATTTACTATCACCTCTTAACACTGAAATGTGATCTATCGTCTCAGCCCGTCAATTAAGGTACACCCGTTCAGAAATGGTAGATCCATTGTTGTTTAAATTGTCCATGTTCTAAACGTGAGCGCTGGTGCAGCTTCTACAGATATCAACCATAAAGCAGGTGCCTGCAAGACTAACGCCTGCCGTCTTGCAAACGCGGCTTTAAACTTCTTCTTGCAATGTCCCATATTAGTGAGTCGTGTGCAGAACAAAACATCACGTGAGGACTTATTTTTTGCTCACACCAACAGGTTCAGCGGCTTGATGAAAGCAGTCGTGTGCCGAATGGAAATGGGTCTGTAAAGTCCGTCTGCCATCAGGGAACGAAAATAAAGGGTTGATTGTACAGGAAAATATGCATTATAGAAATGGTATTTTTCCAGCTTGGAGAATTGTAATTTACCGCCTACACATAAAGAGTTCTTCCCTTTTCTTTTCTAGACATTTGGGAAGCATAGGGATAAGAGGCAGCTCGTATAACACACGTAATTCACGAGAACATATCCACCAGACGCTGGTTCCCAAGGAGTTAAATGGAGCCAGCAGTACATTAGATCTGTGACCACCCTTGAATGGAACTATTAGACATTTAGTATGCTTTTATCTATCTCACAACTAGGCTTTGTCCTGTCTACTCTAAAACTGTTGGTACAAAAAAACTATTGAACTCGAAATCGAACCCATATAGAAGTTTTCCTGTAAGAAACATGAAACTTGTGTTTGCCTCAATCTATGTTTAAAAGGATAGTTTGCTGTCAAAGCATTTTTTTTTTACGAAGCGTTTCAGAAAAGACCCCCATTTATTTCATCACTTTTACTTTTTTTTAAACTAATCATCTGTTCCCTCTAAAGTCGTTTTCTCACACTACACGATATCGGTGGGGAAAACGTCTAACAATCTTTATCTAACATGATGTTTGTAACTATTGTGCTGGACCAAGAGAGCTTTCAAAGACGGCACATCCGATGATCTCAATTGTAAATTCAGATAAGATTATATCTTACAAGCAGGGAAACTTGACACTTCATTGTCTAGAATGAGGTCGTGTTAAGATCTTATGGATTTGGGATATTTTTTCATGAGCATCCTCTCTTGGACCTACTACAAACTTGCGACTGAATTTTTTTTTATTTGTACAAAAACGAAACAGTGAAAATATATTGGCTAAACATACTTGACCATGATTTGTAATTTTTTCATTAGCTTATTAAATATTATGTCAGAATTATCATTACTACTTTTAAAAGAATATTTTAACATAATATTTTAATTTTCTACGTAACTTGTCAAGACTATCAAACTATCATAATAATTCGGGATAACCTAATCATAGCTACATATTTCCAGAAAAATAAGACTCAAAATTTGTGAAGAATTTCAAACGATAAATATCAAAGACAACTTTATGTTTTAGATTAGTATTAACATCGAATACGTCCTTAGCATTTTTGAACACAATAATAACAGTAACAAGATTTATTTAAAATAGAAGTAAAAATCAGTATACTTGATTAAAAATAGTAATTAATAATGTACATGATACGACAAGATAGTGCAATGACATACAGTGTTTAGATTGTTTTATCCAATGGTGTTACTTTATATATATATATTTGTAAGTACCAAAAAAAAAACCTCAAACACCAAGGCAACAGAACACAAAACAACACTATACTATATACACAATTGGTAGACAGTAGCTTTGCTCTGTCACTAAAAAAGTCTTCAACTAAATAAGCTCACCAATAATGTTAAATGAATTTTTTACGAAACTTTTGATAGTTCAAGTATTCACTCTTGAAGTAGGGCGTAAGTAGTCTAGCAGTTTGTAACGATCTTATATTTGCATTGATTTTACCCTAAATACTTTAATCTTAATTCTATGCTATTGACGAGAGGATTGTACACCAGAAATTGTTTTGAAGAAATAATATATTTTATTAGATAAATAGACAGATAGCACATAAAATCCCAAGTCACATGTGATGTATGGGGAGGGGGGAGGGCTAAAACATAGCTTGATCATCATTCAATGTAAGGAGAGTCTCCATTTTCTCTCTCTTCAGATATTAAAACTACCACAACTGTTGTGGTATTTTTATGTTTATATAGTGCTTGGGATGGAGACATTTAGATAATGCTAGAATAGTAACACTCATACAGTGCTTGGGATGGAGACATTTAGATACTGCTAGAATAGCATCACTGAAAATGATGAGATGTAGTGTTTGTGCTGTAGGTGTTGCTTTGCTTGGATAATTAAGTCTATAAATACTGATCAAGTTTAAGCTATTTTGGTTAAGATAGAGAAAACATAACTGTTGATAGAATGGTGGTAGACGATGTGTCTGAATATGGAATGATCCTTCATATAATTCAAAATGTCTGCAGCATAGTAAGTTTGTTTTAGAACAAAGCCACTACGGGGAATCGAACCCTGGATTTTAGCGTTATAAGTCAGTAAACTTAACGCTGTTCCACTGGAGACACCTAATAAGAGACATTGTGATGAAACTGGCACAGATACCCTACACTTTGTTTTGCTAGTTTGTTTGTTGTTAAATGCAAAACTACGCCATAAGCTATCTGTGCTTTTTCAACTGTTGGTATTAAACCCAAGTTTTTTTGCGTTATAACCCATAGACTTACTGCTGAGCCAGCAGAGGACTACATTTAACTTTTAATAGCTAATATTAAAAAAATATGCTATTACAATAGAGACGATCTTCGGCTACTATTAACTTAACGTTGAACGCTTAGGTTGAAATAATCTGAACATTTTATGGTATAAAAGACGGGTTTTTATGCTTAAAGTATGTTTTTAAAGAAGTGTACATATAAAGGTATTTTCACTTGCATTTCTTTCTCTGCTGTACATCGTAAACTCCGTTACACGCTCATTTAATTGTACTCATTAATGTTCGTTTCCTACGATCCTTTTTGTTTACAAGCGTTTGCTCTGTTGGTGTGAAGTGGTCCAAAAAGAAATTTAAGCATATGTTTATTTCATAGACTTATTTAGACTGTTTGAGCATACGCAACTATTCCCACATGGCTTAAACGTGCCTGTTTAGGCCTCGCACTTGAATCGGGACCAATTAAATCCAAATATGACTAAATTCTGACAGCCGTCTCACCATAACTAGGGCCAGCACGAACTGTTGATCCTTTTAGCAACATTTGTGAAGAAAAGATTTACTACTAGCTAGAGTGATAGCGAGGGTTAGGGTAAGAATGATCCAATCCCCCCTTATATACACCTTCAAATAAGAGCTTAGAAAGCCTAGAGGCACGTGCCTGAGTAGGGGCAGAACGTTTCGCAAAAGGCGCCAACAAATGTGTAACATTATCCCTTAGCAAGATTGTAAGCTCCAACTAAATTATGTAGTTTTTTAGAAAGCTGCTTGTATTTATGTTTGTAAAACTGGCATGTGGACTCACTGTATTTTGTATCTTGTTGCAGGATTAGATAATTATGGGGTAAGCATAACATCCCTAGCGCACGTGCAATGGCGTCAAATCAAAACAACAACTACAAAAAAGATTTATACCGATAAGCCTATTCGATAATTTTCCTTTGATATTGTAATTATCACCAAGAACATCAGTTTTGCTCACGTTAAGCTATGTCATGGACATTTGAACAAGCTTGAAACTAGGTGAAATTTGTAGTGAAAAACACACACACACACACAAAATGATGTAAACAGACGGATATAGTGGAGAATGCATAACATTGAAAAACAATCAAAATAAGTTGCTGTACGGTACTAAACCTTTTAAGTAATTTTTAAGTACTTGAAAAATACATACTATAAACAAGTAAAGATGTTTCATATAATATCTATAATTTCTTTTCAGTGTTATTCATTTTCTAAACATACTACAACAGTTTCGGTGAAATGTCTTTTTTATGATCGCTATGACGACAGCAAAGAAAAATCTTGATGTTTTATTGGTTCAACCGGCTCTTGCAAAATTAGACCTTCTGTGACGCAATGAGTCAACATAACGTTGACGGATTCCTCTATCAACCAGCAAGTGAGACGGTATATTGAAAGTAAAAGAGCTTATCGAGTAAGACGATGAACATACATTTTTTATGTAGCTTTCATTCTTAGAGAGGAAACTGGCATACACATTTTTTATACTGCAAGACCAAATATTAGTGCCACATTAATTTACATTTGTTTTTGTTTGTTTGTTTTCTCTTTAGGCGAGAAAGAAAGTGTCGGGACTGAGTCCTGATCGTACAAGTTCTGCAAGCAACTGAGTATTTTAACCTCTTTCACTCAAACTCCCGGTGGCCCGCTACGTGTCGCTCTGTGGTAGGAGAATTTCCGATAAAAATAATGATTACCCAACGTGCTTTCGTTCTTCTTAGTTAAAATATCGGGATTCTGCAAACCATGGATGAGAAACTTGGGAATAGAAAATTACTGAAATAAGCACATGAATTTATCTTATATAAATATGTACAGATATATATACATTTGATTTTGTCATATGAAGTATTAGTGAGTATCACAACCAACACTTACTCATCTATACGATTAAGATGTAAAAAATAATTATTTTACATTTTAAGATAGATATCGGTGCAACAATGAATTATAAAGGTGGTCGTACTTCCACATTCCAGATAGGAAAAAAACGTGGATTGCAAGTGTGTGGATTTGCTTATTAAAAACTTAACAAAAAACAGCAGTTAAGCCTTATCGCAATACCATCTTGTGAACAGTTCTGTTTGCAAAATTAATATATGAAGATTAAGATATCAAAACCATTTATATGATTAGATCATAACGTTAGTAAAATACTTAACTGATTATTTGATACATCATTATATTTGAATTACTATGAATACTAGTAAAATAAATAATAAAGTAAGCGCCATCTGGTGGGTACCAGTGAATTACATATGAATACTTTTTGAAAATAATATAAACGAAAGCAGCTGTTTGTCGTAGTCCTTGCCTGGTGTGATGTGTTATTACAGATTATTTATATATTTACCTTGTATTTATAGTGTAATAATATTTCATTATTTGTTTGCTTAACGATATATAAGTAATTGTTCAAAATAGTTCCTGCTAACCAAAGTTTTCTTGTAGAAAAATATAGGCTTAATAAGGGGAAATGGAAGAAAAGTGGAACAATAAAAGTTTATCGTAAAACACAATCAATTAAAAACAAAATATAAGTTCTCATAAAGAGTATTGTAAAAAAGACTTTTGTCTTGAAATTACTGATTTACCTGTGTCGTTTCACTTGATATTTCTATTATGTACCGAACTGAAGCTCAAGGGAAAGGCTCTTCATAAAGAAACAAATCTTAAAATTCTCTTAACGCTTTTCCTGACTTCAGAAAAAACGCTGTACAGTTTTGAATTACAGTTAAAAAGTAGCTTTTAATCAAATATACTTTAAAGCAAACTGACCTTTAAGCGTAGATAGAACAAGTGCAGTCAGGTATATAACCCACGTTGTAAATATGTACTACGACGTAGATATTCTCTTTGTGCATTTGAAATATATTTTATCCGTATAATATATGATATACCCGTAGGCTTCATTTCAGTGATCTTTTTACCTGTTCTTTTGTATTTTTAATATTGCTTTTGCATATATAAATATACAAGATAAAACTATGAGATTTGGTCGTTTTGCTTAGCGTATATGTTAAATGTTTATAAAATCCTGTAACTGTCAAGCTAGCGAATTGTCATATATTTTTAATTAATAATAACCTAAAATTATGAAAAGGATACAACATTGAAAATGAACATTACATTCCAATTTCTATGTGGAAGAATTATTTAGATATATGCAAAGTTAGGCAAAGAAAACAAACTAACAAGAACTCTTGAGATCAAGTATTGAGGTAATGTTTAATTATTGCTCCCATAAATAGCTTTGTTTGACCTGAGAATTAGCACGCAGAAAAATTCAGTTTTATGTCTATTATGTATAATTCCAAATATACTGATTTAATGGACAATGATTATTACATTTTACTTAAGTATCTATAAGAAGGACATTGTTTGATTCTTTCTGTTTTGAGATAGATTGTTCAAAAATGTTTTACAATTAGAGTAACAAAAATTTTGAATCAGAAAGTTCATTGTCGCCTTTTGTTGAAAATGTGTTTCAGATTATAAATGAATCAGAAACTGATGAACAGATTTGACGATGGCAAATATATTACCAACCACAAAGTAATTGATAGTTAAAGGATTCGTTTGGATATTAGTATCAGCTAGATAAAAAATAATAAGCAATGGAAAAGTTTTTTAATGCAAATCGCTCCATAATTAAGAACATTTTAGAAAGACATTCTAAAATCATAAAAATGCTCTAAAAAAAGTAGCAAATGAATTACACAAATTTATGTATACAATAATAAAGATACTATTTTATTTTATTTGACATTTGTTGGAAAACAAACCTGTTTGGCTATGTATTCATAAGGCGGCAGTGGCCGATGAAAGGAGAGGGTCATTTTTAGTGCTAAGATTTATGTTGAATTCCAGCAATAACTGCAGTTACCAGATTCATTGTTTTGTAATTTTGTATGTATTTCGATGTCTTCACTAGTCCTGCCGAGAAGACAAAGTGCAAGAGCTACATTGTAAAAATGGAATGTAATCTAAATGAGACTTTCCAGATTTATGTGAATAAAGATTTGATGTTATGATTACACATCCAGAAAAATGGCTTTGGTCTTTCAATGGAAACAACACATTTGCAACAATACTTAGAGGTATAATCAAGAGTTGTTTTGTTATTTTAAATTCACAATCTGTGAAAGAATGGTTGAATCCATTTCATTATAATTCATTATGTATTTGATATTCAATTCATTGGTTAATTTCTGTGAAAGAATGGTTGAATCCATTTCATTATAATTCATTATGTATTTGATATTCAATTGATTGGTTAATTTCTGTGAAAGAATGGTTGAATCCATTTCATTATAATTCATTATGTATTTGATATTCAATTGATTGGTTAATTTCTGTGAAAGAATAGTTGAATCCATTTCATTATAATTCATTGTGTATTTGATATTCAATTGATTGGTTAATTTCCATACGTATATTTCAGTACAAGTAACATAAAATTTTAGCACAATTAATTAATACACACTGTGTTATACTTGTTATTTTCCATACGTCAAATAAAATATTTGTTGCTTTTTTTTTGCTATATATAACACATAAAAAGTTCGATAGTGTTTCTCTTTGTGATATATATAGCTAGCAGTCGAATTTTGACTACCTATCAACGTCAAAGGTTTAACTCTGACTTTTTAACAATATAAACTATTTGATGCGCGTTGTTATTTCTACTCTCTTGACATTATACCTCTGATAACTATCAGTCATCCAATTGATGCTATAAACAGATCGGCTTATAGTAGTATAAAAACAGTTTTCTTTATCAATGCTCTCTATGCACTAAAACAGCAGAACATACTGCTATTATGCTATGATTGTTTATTTTAGTGGAATGAAACTATTTGAAATCCAGTCAAAACAAGAGATACCAAGGCGCATGCTACGTCTCTAGGTTATTGTACAATAATAACAGCTGTTGCTCGACTTTAGATGCATATATATGTCAGGTTTATAACGTTGGTGAAACTACTCTCTAGACAGAATGATAATTTAGTCAAAAGAGCCAATTTTAATAACTTGAAATGGTTGCCTAACTGAAATACGTCTAATATTAAAAAACATTACTTCTCCCCCCTTAAAACCAGTTGGTGCACGTGTTGGCTCTGTGGTAGAGCTTTGGATTTCGGACTTGACAAGCCAGGTTTAATTCCGTGCCATACCATAAAATATGACCCGCGTTTTAAATTGTAGGACTTGAGTTACAGTCAATTCCTTAGCTGGTGGCAGTGTCCTGACTAGCTGCCTTTCCTCTGGTCAGTAGTTCAAAATTAGAAACAACAGCAGATTGCTTGAATAGTTTTATCATAAATTATAAACTAATTGCTGTACATTTATCCAATCAAGAAATGTTACATGTAGCTCATATGAAACTTTATTCCAGCTTTACGAATCTACTTTTGTTTATACAAAAATAATAATTAACTTTTACCACCAATTTTGAGGAAACATGTTTATTTCCAATGTAATTACAAATAATAATAATAATACTTAAAAGCGCTGCTTAAAGGAAAAATGACCTTCACCGGGACTCCAAGAAACAATCTGTTATAATAATACTCGGTTATTCGCTGTCCTGAAAATACGTATGCTCCTTATATTAAAGTGCGCATGCGCGCGCACTGTATATATACTTTAGTAGACATTTTGTGCAACAACATATAGTCTTGGCCAAAATATTTGCATGCTGTTCTATATTGATGTTATTGTCTACATGTATGGAGTAGTTATTGAGTTAATGTCCGAGTAGTAACATAAAAGGTAGCGTATGATCTGACAAACATGTACGAGTTGTTATTCTGGTCTGTATAAGTTGTTTTGAGCATTTGTTGGTCAAAACACACGCATACAGACCTGTCTTGTATAAAAGGGTGTGCTTTTGGTATAATGTTTTTCGAAACAAATCGACACTTTGTTATATGGTGTATAGTCATGCCTCGTCACGTACTAGAAGTTATAGGGCGTCAACTGTCCAGAAATGGTATTAAGCAAATGGACATTGCCAGAACAGTAAGGTATCCCAAGTGTACTGTATCTAGAATCCTGAAACGTCATCGAACTACAAGAAACATTGTCCCGGGAAAGTCTACTAGTAGACGCAGGCCCGGCATGGCCAGGTGGTTAACGTGCTCGACTCGCAATCTGAGGGTCGCGGGTTCGAATCCCCGTCACATGCTCGCCCTTTCAGCCGTGGAGGCGTTATAATGTGACGTTCAATCCCACTATTCGTTGGTAAAAGAGTAGCCCAAGAGTTGGCGGTGGGTGGTGATGACTAGCTGCCTTCCCTCTAGTCTTACACTGCTAAATTAGGGACGGCTTGCGCAGATAGCCCTCGTGTAGCTTTGCGCGAAATTCAAAACAAACAAAGAAACTAGTAGACGCCAAAAAACTACTGCCCAAAATGACCGTATTTTGATCAGGTTAACATGCAAGGTCCAAAGACGTCTTGCAACAACTTACGACAGGAATGGTATGAACACATTCATTCGAAGGTATCCAGAAGAACAATGAAAATGATACTGACCAAACAAAGGTATTTTGCAAGAAGGGCTATCTGCAAGCCGGTGTTAACCAGAATTCACTGCCGTCACCATGTTACTTGTGCAACAAACACCGCATGCCAACTTACAGTTAGGACACTGGCGATATGTCATCTTTTCAGATAGTCTTATTTCCGGCTTGTTAAGGCTGATGGTTGGATTCGTGTTAGTCGTTTGTCTGGAGAACAGATGAGGGAAGACTATCTTTCCCACAGGGACACACAGGAGGTGGCGCAGTACATGTTTGGGCAGCTGTTCATCATGGTGAAAAAACTGCTCTTCATATCTTCCAAGAAAACGTCAATGACGCCTCCTACAGGCATTACATGGAAACAATATTTCTGCCATATGCTAGGGTCAGATTTGGCAATAACTTTGTGTTTCAAGATGACAGTGCCACTACCTACAGTGCACCTATTGTACAGGATTATCTCGACCAGGAGGACATTACAAGATTGCCAGCAAAGTCTTCAGATTGTAATCCCATTGAGAACTGTTGGTCAGAACTGAGCCGGAAAATTGCTAACTACGACCCTAAACCAGATACTGTAGCTGAGTTGCAGCGCCTTCTAGTGACAAGCTGGAATGAAATCACGGTGGATTACATCAGTAACCTCATCGACAGCATGCCACGTCGCCTTACGGAGGTTATTAGAGTACAAGAAAGACCAACCAAGTACTGAATGTTGAATATGAACTAGTATAAGGTTACAGACGCTATTTATAATAATTTGATGTTATATTTTGTCATTAATTATATATGTTTTGGTCAGGTTTTGTTTTGATAGGTGAAATGCTGAATTACATATCTTTCTACAGGTGTCTCATAAAATTGCTTGCTGTTCTAATAAATTGTCCATAGAACTTCTCTCATTATATAAATTACATGTGTAGGTGTTTAACCCATTGATTGCTGATTCGCTGTATAGGGTACAGTCCGCCTCCAGCAGTTGAATGCGAGTGTGCCGTATATCTTGTATGGCTTGCAAAACTTCCGCTAGCGTTTAGAGTAGTCGCAGACAATGGGTTAATATAACATGCATTTCTCAGTTTGACAACACTAAGTGTATTTGTATTCTATCTTAATAATAATGATCTTACTTGTTACAAAATATGCAAACATTTTGGTGGCAAGACTGTGGTTACATCGATTGTCAAAGTTTTTAAAATGTTTAACGTTAGGTCGATGAATAACATCATAAGTATATATACTGACAGTATTAATTACGGTAAAGTTTAGCCCTGACTAAACTAAAGCAAAAGACGTACACAAGTTACAGTGTTAACTTATCTCTTTATCGAATATAGGCCGTACAATAATAAAGGCTTAACCAGTGTTTGACCTAGGACAAGAGAACTTATAGATTTTGCTGTCAGCGATTATAACTTTTTGTTTTGGATTATCCTAGAAATTTCATTTTTAAATAAGTACTGTTGCAATAAAGATATTAATTTGACCGCAAATGTTTTGCGGGTTTCTGCTAGTAAACAAATAATTTGTCTTCTTTACAAGATTATTTTTCCATTGTGGTATCTCGCGTATGACCTGCAAAGCAGAAAATGTAGGACCTGTTAATAACAGGAGGTTTTACTATCTCGGGCTAAGGTGTAGAGTTCTCGAGAAGATGCGACAGTTAAGTCACAGAGGAAGAGACTAGACACAGATTTATACAAAGAATGTATGTTTACCATTACTTTTACCTTCACCAATAGAAATGAATAAAACGTTGCAATACAATGCAAAGTGATACATAAACTATTAGGCAAATGACTGTGTTTATGTGTGACTGAGAAGAGCTGAAGAAAACTTCCATAGAGCCAAAGAACTCCTGTTAGTACGTGTAGGCCTCCCTTGTAAGTTAAACTAAGTAAGAAACAATGCTAAGTGGAAACGTCCCCAAGCTAGGTTAAATGTCACATTACTTTAATCACCGTAAATACACTATGTGAAGTCCAAGTTCTTATTTGGATGTCAACAATGAAGCTTAAAACAAAACACTTTAACTAAACTCTAAATCGGTTCACACTTCTATTAAAACACTAACGTGAAGAAACGTGAGAACAATACTTTAAATCCTGCTTGATTTAAGGCGAACATGAGAACAATATTACCAGTAGACGAGAAGTATGCTCACGAGTCGCTTGAATTCTTAACTTAAAGAAACAGTGAAAGCAAAAGTGTAAAGGAAACATGACAGAAACCTTCAGAAATACAACTGTGAAAACAGCTGAAAAAAATATTAGGGTAACGGAAGACTGTGTATCCTATTAAACGCTGAAACTCTATGAAAGTTTTGTAAGTGAAAAAATATCTTATATTCTACATACGATCTATGTCAAAAATCTGTAATTCTTCTAAATTTTAAATCTGCAAAATATATACAAAATATGCCTTTCTAATGCCCATACTATCTTAAATATGCAAATAAATCCTTTAGTTTCTGAAACAAGAAAATAGTGATTGGTTCTTTTTAGATCAGCTGACCAATGG